CAGAATGTCCCATCCGTGTGGAATTGTTTAGATAAGTTATGATAACAACATAATGGAATATACGCAGTCGTCAGAAGGAACGAGGCAGCACTTTATGTGCTGATAGGAATATCTTGAGATAAATTAAGGGACAAAGTAGGATGCAGGAGAGTGTACGTAACTTTGCTACATACGCTGTGTTAAAAAAGGAAAAAAAAATCGCAGTATTTTCTTGACTCTAACACACCATCAACTGTAAATATATTATTTTATTCATCACTAAGACAGAAAAATTGCTGCCAATTGAAATTGTGACTTAAAAGACATGAATGCGTTTTTCAAAGACGTAAAGATATATAATTTCAGAATTGATCAAATGTGGCATAGTAATATTTGCTTTGACTTGCACGGTCTATATATGTTTACCATCACATCTTCTGGGACCGCTGGGGACTGGAGCTGCCCTGCCCAGTGGGCTCCTCACTCTGTATGGGCCGCAATGACCACAGAACGCTGGGCAGACCTCTGGGAGCTGGAAGAGCAATGCATTCATGTGCTGGTATCTTTGGTGTACATTCTTTACACTGCTTGTTTCCTGGTTTGGGACTAAACAGGTGAAACAACTCAGAACCAAGCCTAAGTCTGATTCCCACCCACCCTGGGAACCAAGAAAAGATGCTGTGGTTTGTACTCGCTCAGCCTGCGAATGCAGGCCAGAGTTTGGCACTGGATGGGTGATGACCCCTGCGGGACTGTTCACCTGGGTGAGATCACTGGCCTCGGGGAGGGAGGAGGGGTGGCAGAGTGGCCAGTGAGCATTCCTGGTTGTAAGGGAGACGCGAGCAGGTACTGAACTTCCTCTCCTTGGTATTTCCCGGGTCCCGAGCAGAGGGTCAGGCCTGGGATGCCCTCAGTCCATTTTGTGGGGATCAAGGAGTGTTCCAGGCTGCAAACTGGGACTAGACTCGGAAAGACATGGAAACTGGTATACAACTCCAGGGACACTCGCCCTGTTTAGGTGGTTTATCAAGGACATGGATTCTCAAGAAATGATCTGAGGGGTCCCGAAGAAACTGTCAGGTCACATGGCCTGATTCAATCTGAGGGCAAGTATGCTCAGAATCTGACGCCTTGACTACACTGTCCCCAGACAATACAGTCCAATCCCTTCTGGACACTGTTACAGGACAAAGAAACCGCACTGTGGGCCACAGTGCTGTCGACCAGCCCCGTCTGGAAGTAGGGTTTGTACACGGGCTCTGTGCTCCAGCCAGTGTGGCTGAGCTCCGGAACGGAGTGCTATCATTCCTCCAAATCGGCCTCCTTAGGAAAGCTGGAGTGCACGTGAATTCTTTTTTGTTTTAAATCCTCATCCAAGGACATTTTTCCATTTATCTTCAGATAGAGTGGGAGGGAGGGAGGGAGGAAGAGAGAAACACCAACGTGAGAGGGACACATCAACTGGTTGCCTCCCACACAACCCCGACCAGGGCTGGGGACGAACCACAACCAAGGTACATGCCCTCGGCCGAAATCGAACCCACAACTCATTGGTCCACGGGCCGAGGCTCTACCGCTAAGCCAAACTGGCCAGGGCTGAATGTTAATTCTTTAGGATGATTTAAATGTGAATTATTACTATCAGCGATCTCTCTCTGGGAGATTTCACTCCAGGTATTCAACCTACCAATCCTGCTCAAAAACAGAATAATTGTATCATTTCCAATAAACCTTAGTAAACACTCCTAACCTTGCCACAGAGAGGCAACATGAAGCTCCCGTCACCTGGGGGGGGGGGCAGCTTCCCCAAGGCTTACCAGGCTGAGAAAATTTCCTTAGCTCGGAGGTGGAGAATCGTTTTGTTTGACATTCCGGGCTGTGGCTGCTCCAGGGGCTGGCAGACAACCAGGCCTCAGGGCCCTGCCGTTGGCAAACTCTGCCTTCTTGCAACACCCAGAGCAGCCCTCACCGTTTCATAAAGTTGAACGACGGGGCAAGCGAGGGTACTTGGCTTCTTCAGGAAGCCCCCTCCACAGGCAACTAAATGTGTCTCTCGTGACAACATGAAGCTGGGTTTTGTTTTTGGCACACACCGGCAACATGTGTCTTTTCATTGGCATGTTTAAACCACTGATGTTCAAGTGACCATTCATATGGCTGGATTGATAGCTACCATAATTGATACTGTTTTCTCTTTTTTGTCCTTGTCTTTTCTCTGTGGTCTTCTACTTTTTTCCCTGCCTCCTCAGGCTTTTAATTTTATGATTTATTTTCCCTCCTCTCTTAGAATTTTAATTATATTTTTAAAAATTGTACATTTTTTTCCCTTGAGTTAGCAACATACGTTCACAATGTCAGTCCCCTTTCAGATAACTTACACCACTACACAGTACGGACAAGGACCGTATAGCATAGCATTCCCCTTCCTCTCCCACACCTTATAATAGGGTTGTCATTCATTTTAATTGCTTATCTGTTTGATTAAGAGTAATAAGATTTTATTTTTCCTTCATGCATTCCTTTTCCAATACCCTTCCTTTACGTAGATCCATGTTTTGGACTACAGTGGTCCCTCGTTCATCGTGGCTAGTCCATGCCAGACTCTCGCGGTGGCCCCTGGCGTTGAAGGATTCCCGGGGTGCTCCAATACATAGGCCTGCGGTCCATACGTACAGTAATTGTAATTGTAATTGTAATTGTAATACAAGGGTGTATAATTGACTCAGACAACCAAGCGCGTGATGTATCATTTTCACTCTCCATCAACTTTTTAATGAATATATTTGAAAAAAACCCTGACAGAGTGAAGCCGCGAAAGTCGAAGCGCGAAGTGGTGAGGGACGACGGTACATCATTTTCCTTTCCTCCAAGGGACTTTTTAACATTTCTTGCGTGGCAGGTTTTTCCCTTTTATCCTTTTAAAATATTTTTTTAATTGATTTTTGAGAGAGACAGGAAGGGAGAGAGAAACATCAGTGTGAGAGAGAAACATCAATGTGAGAGAGAAACACCAACTGGCTGCCTCCTGCATGCCCCTTATCGGTGATCCAGCCCAAAACCCAGGCATTGTGCCTTGACCAGGAATCAAACCAGGACCTCTGAGTCCATAGGACAACGCTCAATCCACTGAGCCACACCAGCCGGGCTCTCTTTTACTTTTAAAGGATAGTTTTAGAGGGTATGGACCTCTGGGTTGGTGGCTTTTTCTCTTACCACTTTAAATTGTCCACTCTCTCTTCTGGCTTGCATGGTTTCTGAGAAGCCCAATGAACTTATCCTTGTTCCCTGATAGGTATTTTTCCTCTCTGGCTTTTTCCCTATTTGTTTTCTGTATGTATGGCTTTCTGCAGTTTGGATATAATTTGCCCAAGTGGCTATTTTTGGTATTTATCCTGCGTGGTGTTTTCTGAGCTCTTTGTTGTCTATCAATAATTTGGGTAGTTCTGTCATTATTGCTTCAAATATTTCTTCTGTACCCCTTTCTTCTCCTCCTGGTATTCTCATCATGTATATGTCATACTTGTTGCAGTGGTCCCACACAACTCATATGTTTTGCCTGCCCCCCCCCCTTCTCTCTTTGGATTTCAGTTTGGAAGTTCCTATTGACATTTCTCCAAGCTCACCGATTCTTTCCTTGCCTGTGACCGATCGAACGAGACTCCCAAAGGCACTCTTCATTTCTGCTATGGTGTTTTTGGTTTCTAGCATTTCCTTGTGACTCTTTGAGTTTCCATCTCTCTGCATACATGACCCATCTGTTCTTGTATGTGTCTTTTTTTTTTCTAGAGCCCTTAGCATATTAATCGGTTGTTTTGAATTCCATCTGATAATTTAATATCTGACATAGCTGTGCTTGCTCTGTCTCTTCAAAAGCTGTTGTCTTTCACTTGCCTTGTCATTTTTTGTTGCAAGTGGGGCATAATGTACTAGGTAAAAAGCACCGAGATTAGTGTGAGGTTTTGTGTTTGGCTGTGTTTTCTTCACTGTAGTTACAGGTGTCAGAGGCCTGTTTCCTTTGTTGTCTTTAGTTTTCCCAGAGAATTTAAAAATATGACCTGAGACACACAGTTCTTTCAGCTGTATTACCTTGTTATTACACAGAAGCCCTGTTGATGTGGTGCCGAGGGGTAGGGAGAAGGTGGTTGAGGGGAAATGTTCTATAGCCCATGATTAGGTCTCAGACTTTTGGTGAGTCTGTGACCCTGGGCTGTGACCTTTACAAGTACTTCTCAATTTTTTGGTTTGTTCCCCCCTTAGCAGAGACAGGAGGGTTAGAGGATATTGAAGTTGGGTATTTACTTCCCTTGTTCCAGGTCAGTTAGGCTCTGGTAAACATTTCTGTGGAGGACAGCCTTATTAAGGACAAAATACACTGCTCATATTTTTAAATGGCTACTTTTGCACTTCCCTTGCTGAAAACATGAGATTTTTTTCCCTCCTAATCATTGAGAATCTGACAGGGCTCCTAGAGGTGAAGCTCATAAAGTGTGGGGGTCCTCTGAAGACTGGCGCCCCCTGGAGTTTTTCTCTCAAACTTGTCCACACCGAGTCTCCAGCAATTCATTCATTAGAGTTGGTTTTCTTGGTCTTCTACTTAGTAGGGTGTGATTCTGTGTCTGCCTATGTATGTCTTTCGTTTTGAGGGCAGTTGGTTTGTTCTTTGATTGATATAAGAAGAGCTGTTGATTTTGTTTGTTCGGCTTTTTTCTTATTGTGTGAATGGGAGAGATGACTCCCAAGCTCCTTCCATGCCAGATCAGATACTGGAAATCTCAAGTGCTTTTCTTTGGGTGGTGATATTATAAGTGGCTTTTTCCTTTGTACTTTCTTACTGTCTACATTTTCTATAAGGTACATATATATTTACTTTATTATAGACAAAGAAAGTTCTAAGAGAAAAAAATTTTAAATGTGTTTAATTTCTGTTAACTTGGAGTGAAAGAAAGCAAGATTTTCTGGCTAGTACACCAATCAAACCACTAAAAAAGATTGAAGGGGGGGGTTCAGTCCATAGCCTTATGTCTTCTGTTGTTCAGGTCTGAAGTCCCCAGAGTAACAGACTCCTCTCCCTTGAGACACACCTGGTTCATTTCAGCAGACTGCCTGGCTGTCTCTCTCTCATTTTTTTCCTACCAAATGTTCCGTAGCAAGAGCCTGTCCAGCCCTTTGCAGGAGACTGTCCTTCAGACACTAAGGTTTCAGTCCTTTAGAACTTGAAAACAAGAAGCAATGTTAGTTCAGCTAACTTATCTCTTTATTAGGAAAGCACCAACACCACATTCTTGGAAATTACTGGAATTTTATTTGCCTCAGGCTTATGACTTGCAACCAAAGACATTGTGCAAAGAAAGCAAAGATTAAGTACACTTTAGGGAGGAGACGATACATATTGGTAACATAGGAGATCAGGTTGACAAAAAAAGCCATCCAATGCACTATATAGATTGCAATATTCAATAGCATTTTCAACAAAACCTTTTTTTAATCAAGAGCAAAAAAAAAAAAAAAATTAAGCAATGTTTACAGTAGACATAAATCTTATACAATTCAAAAAGCATTTTTTTTTCAGATCATAGAGCATAAAATGGAAAAATGTCTATGCAGGTGAAGTCTAACTACTGTACATTAATCACCTATTAAAGTTGCTTATATGTACCACAGTGTAAAAAACAAAACAAAACAATACCGAACAAAAATCTTGAAAATTGCCTGATGAAAAATAAAATAACCAGTGACTTTTAATGGCTTCTCCTGGTTATCAGTGCTACAAAAAGACAAAAAATCTTCTCATCTGAACAGGTGATAAAACCAGGCACAATCAAACCATTACCAAATTAGACCCACCCATAGAAATATACTATCCACCCACATATTTTCCATCAAAAGCTTTATTTTGTTTGTTTTAATCTTTGAATCTTTGCGGCCCGTTTGGTCACAGTATGTTACAAATATTTGTGTGTGTGTGCGTGTTTTTTTACACCATGATATCATATGTTTGTCTGGCACTATCCTAAAGCTAGTTTATAGATGATGATATAGAAACAGCCCAGTGCCCATGTGACAAATGAACTCACTGGGTAGAAATGAGAGGGGAGGAAGGAATTCAGTTCTGCCAAGGAAACGGGTCCTTATCCATCACTCGTCATCGGTCCCACTTGCTTCTGACTGTTCCTAAAAGTAAAAGGAAGATAAAATGGAATGAAGTTACACACAAGGAAAAGAAGACGTAAGCTGTCAAGGGGCAACAGGAAAAACAAATGACCTTTTGCAAACAGTTAACCCTCCAAGCCTCTTCCTCCTGCGAGAAGATGAAGAGACCCCCCCTGGCAGCCTCTAAGACGGACAGGGACCGCTCCCAACTGCCAAGCCAGGGCAACGCCCACCTCTGTGTCAGCCCTTTGCTCTCACTTTGGCACGAAAGGTTTATAGCGAATACTTTCTATTTTTAGCAAAATGTTTTAGAAAACACAGACGGGAAGAAAAAGTACCATGCATTTGATGTCTACTCCCTGGTAAGTCTACTAAGGGAAACACAGTATTTTAAACGTTTTAAAATGCTTGTGTCAATGGGGTGGGATAAGAATTCTGCAACTTTTCCCTCAGACCCAAATGGCGATGTGCTGAAGGAAAAAAAATCAAACTAGCATACATACTAAAATGAAAAATTAACATTCCAGAAAGAAAAAAGGCTGGGTAGGAGGCAACCTGAGGTGCAGGGCACTGCAGAAGACGAGGTATTGGAAGTCCCTGCTCCCCAGTGGCCCACACAGACAGGGACAGTGCACGAGGAGCCAGGCTATTTGCACCTGAATTATATTCTCTGCTATCTACTTCCATGACCTGGAGCAAAACACATATAACCTGAGCACTGGCTGATGGAGTATGTGGAGAGTGACATCTATCTCACAACGCTATCAGAAGCATTAAATATAGTACTTTATAGGAAGGAACTTATTTCAGGGCCTGGCTGTTTGAATTTTCCAATGATTAAAAACAGCACCTCGAGGTACTTCAACATTCATCTGGGTTTTTTACAGTGCTTTAAAAATCAACTGAAACCTAACTAACATTCTAACACTTTCTCTTGCTCTATAGACTAGCGCAATGCTGGGTGGTACAGATATAAAATATTAAGCGGCCACGGAGAAAACTATCTGTAAGCAAGCAGTGGGGGGATCAGAAAGGGGACAAGGAAACCTGACTTAGTGTTTTTCATTTCTGAAGACTAAAAAAGGCGGTGAACAAAACCCCAGATTCTTTGTTAATAAAGCATGCAGCTCAGTTCACATCCGTCAGAAATGAAATCTCACCAAATCTTTACACTTTCACTTCTAGGTAACAAAGGGTCGAGCTTGGAACGGACTCGGGATACGAGAGGGAAACAGAGCGGGAGGGCTGGCGGCCTCTGTCCAAGCGCCACTTACATTTTCATCCCGTTCCTCGTCACTGTCCAGGTCGCTCACCACAGGTTTGGCTTTTCCTCGATTTGGCCTTTTCTTGCCTTTTCCTTTGTCCCGACCTTTCTCATCTTTTTTATTGAGCTTGATTTTCACCTTAACAGATTTTGCTACAGCAAAAACAAAACAGACAGCAATGAGGACTCATAGGGACATCATTTTGCAGGCAGAGGACAAACCCAATGTCCAGGAGTGGCCAGATCACTTGCGACGTTGGCCTGGTTTCCGTCCTCTTGTCTGGTTAGCACCCCCTTGCACTTGCAAACATGTCTCAGGCGGGAGGGAAAATTACAGTTACCTAAAACAGGCGGCAAGAGGGAGCGAGGTCCCATGGAGGGTAGCTGGGTCCTTTCCCCGTCCCTAATGGCTGAACGGGGACTCTTCCTAACAGGACAATGAGGGCTGCCCTTTCTACAAAACATAAATACTTTAAAGTGTAAAAAAAAGGTCAACAATTTTACTGTGTAGATAAGTCAAGTTGATTTACACACACAAAAAAATTCACATAGTTGAATATTTTTAACAGCATAGAAAGGTTCAAAATGGAAATTAAAAACAAAACAAACAAATGAATACGAGAGCTCTCTTCCCCATCCCTAGTCTCTCTACCTACTGTTCTTGTTCTGATGATTTCCAGAAAAAAACAGAATTCATCCATACCTACAAATACATCCATCCCTGTGTGTGGACAGGTCTCTCTATACAATGCTATGGAGAAAGACTAAGAATTCAAGTGTACACACACATGCACTTCATATTCTTACCCAGAGGGATCTTTACATGCCCATATTCCACACCCCGCTCTTTTACTCACACATGTAGGACATCTCCATCTTATGTGTACGCAATCTTTTAACCAGTGCCCTAGTGATGTGCTGAAGTTCTCGGCTTTCTGCCTCTACAAACAAAGCGCCATAAAGCTCTCTGCTGGCATCTCTCGGCAGAACCCGGGGGCGGGATGGTACACGATCCATACGGTAAGCTTCTAACAGTGCTCTGCTAAGTCAGACCTCAGGGGTGGCACTCATGTCCTCTCTCCTGAGGCTATTCTGAGGATGGAAGGAAAAGCACTTGGAGGTGCTCGAAGTGCTGTAACATAAATACAGGTGTGTAGCACAAAGTATACAGAAAGTCTGTTCCATGGCACTGTTCTGGGACAAGTGTCCACAGAACACCACTTTTAGGATTTGATGAGTCACTGAGAATGTGGGTCTCATTCAAATCAGCTTTGCCAGAACAGCATGTTGGATGGGTCTCAAGAAGAGGAGGATACCTAGGAATAAAGTTAGCCAGGGAGGGGAAAGACCTGGACCCTGAAAATGACAAAACAGACATAAATGAAAAACACTGAAGAAGACTAATAAAGGGAACCAATAGTTCAGGAATGGAAAGGATTAACAATGTTAAAATACCCATTCTATCCAAAGCAATCTACAGATTCAGTGCAATCCCTATCACAGAAATTGAACCAATAATCCTAAAATTTATGTGGAACCACAGAAGACCATGAATAGCCAAAGCAATCTTAAGAAGAACAAAGTTGGAGGTACCATACTCCCTGATTTCAAACTATATGACAAAGTTATAGTAATCAAAACAGTACAGTATTGGCACATGAATCAATGCAACAGAATAGTGAGACCAGAAATAAACCCACACATATGTGGTCAATTACTTTATGACAAAGGAGGCAAGAATATATAATGGCGAAAGGACAGTTCTTCAATAAATGGTATTTGGAAAGCCGCATGCATAGGAATGAAACTAGATTACTATCTTACACCTTCTACAAAAACTAACTCAAAATGGATCAAAGATTTGAATGTAAGACGGAATCATAAAACTGCTAGAAGAAAACACAGGCAGTCAGCTCCTTGACATCAGTCTTGGAGATGGTCTTGGATTTTAGTGTCAGATCTTTTTTATTTATTTATTTATTTTATTTTTTATTTTTTATCCTCACCCGAGGACATTTTTCCATTCTTTGTTCAGATAGAGTGGGAGGGAGAGAGAGGAAGAGAGAGAGAGAGAGAGAAACATCAACGTGAAGGGACACATCGAGTGGCTGCCACCCGCACGACCAACCAGGGCCGGGGACAAACTGCAACCGAGGTACGTGCCCCCAGCGGGAACCGAACCCGGGTCTCTCTGTACCGCAGGCCTATGCTCCAATCGCTGAGCCAAACCGGCCAGGGCTTAGTGTCAGATCTTAAAGGCTGTGGATGCAAAAATAAACAAGTGGGACTATATCCAGCTTAAAAACTTGCACAGCTAAGGAAACCATCAACAAAATGAAAAGTTAACCTACTGAATGTGAGAAAGTTATCTGACAAGGAATTAATCACCAGACTATATACAAAGAACTCATACAACGCAATAACCCAAAAAGTTAACAATATGATACAAAATGGACAAAGGATATCTGAACAGGCATTTTTCCAACAAGCGGCCAAGAGGTACATTAAAAGTTGTTCAATATCACCAATAATCAGGGAAATACAAATCCAGACCACAGTGAGATAGTCAGAATGGCGATCATCAAAAATACAAGAAATAACAAATGCTGGTGAGGACGTAGAGAAAGGAACCCTTGTGCTCTGTTGGTGGGTATGTAAACTGGTGCAGCTACTGTGGAAAACAGAATGGAGGGTCCTCCCAAAATTAAAAGTAGAACTGCCATATGATCCAGCAATACAAACACACAAACTCAAAAGATATATGCACCCTCACATTCACTGCAACATTATAATAGCCAAGATATGGAAACAACGTAGGTGTCCATCAGTAGGTTAATGGATAAAGAAAACATGGTACATACATTACAGAGTACTGCTCAGCCATTAAAAAGAATGAAATCTTGCCATTTGCGACAACATGGATGAACTTGGAGGGCATTATGCTAAATAAAGTCAGTCAGACAGAGAAAGACAAGTACCATATGATCTCACTTATATGTGAAATCTTAAAGAACAGAAACAAGCTCATAGCTACAGAGAACAGATTGAGTGGTTATCAGAGATCAGGGGCGGGGTTGGGGGGGGTGGCGAAAGATGGCAAAACAGGTGCAAATGTCAAAAGGCACAAACTTCCAGTTATGAAATCAGTAAGCCATGGGGTTAAGGCACAGCATGATGAATACAGTTAATAACACTGTACTGCATGTTTGAAATGAAAAGTTCTCATCACAAGAAAAATCAATTTTCTAACTAGGTACAGTGATGGCAGTTAACTGGACTTGTGATCATTTCACAATATATACAACTATCAAATCGTCATGTTGTATACCTGAAACAAGTATAAGTTGTTATGTCAATTACCTGTCAACAGAAAACAAAAAGTCTAAGAAAAAGGAGGCACCGGGAAATGTCAGCGTGATGCACAAAGAAATGGATTCTCCCCGTGGGCCCCAGGAAAGTAATGCAGGCTGCTGACACCTCGGTTTGGCCCAGAGAGACCCAAACCAAACTTGTGACTTACTGAACGAGGCGACCATAAATTTTTGTTTTATTAATAAAGCCACAAAGTTTGTAGCAATTTGTAACAGCAGGAAGAGAAAGTTAATATAGCAAGCCTCAAGAGAGATAAAAGAAGCTAAACTGAAAGATGGGAAGAAGGGCCGCTGTCTGAAAACAGATTAGAACTCTGGCTCTAATAAAAAAGGAAATATCTAGCTAACATAATGCCAGGATGTTAGGACCTGGTAAGAACCATATGAAATTAAAAGTGGTTGCATAGATAAAAGGCAGTATCACGCGACAGAACGACGCTGTGTGTGGGGAACAGACGTGGACTGCTCTCAGGATGGAAACTCCAGCTGTGCGGTGATATGTAAGCATCAGATGTTTTAAAGATGTTTGCAATGACTTGTGGGTAAGAATGTTTAGGACAGCGTTCTTTAGCGTGAGTAATAAAACCAGGTGCATTCATTAATGAATGGTAATATAAAGTGCTGTAGAAAAACACTGATTACTGTGGAAAAATGTTCACAATAAAGAGAACAACCATGCTATAAAAAACAGTGTGCTGCACTTTCATAAACAAAATACTTATGTGTAGAAAAAACCGAAAGGAAACTTCTCAAAATGTTAAATGTATATAGGGTAATAAAATTATACAAATTTTCCTTTAATATTTTCCAAGTTGTCCGCACTAAGTATGTAATTAGGAACAAATCTATAAAAAAATTAAAGCATATCTGTACTGTTTTACACAGCAGACCATAACTACTGGGATTTATTACTTTGAGAGGAGGTATGGGGAGAAAACATCATTAGGTAAGAAGAAATTTTAGACTTTTGAAGACAGCGTTAGCTGTTTAAGACGAAGGTTGTCAACCAGGGTTGGGATTATAGTAAGGCAAGAGAGCTGCTTGCAAAATTTAAGTGGGCTGATCAAAACGAAATCATCGACAAATATTCTAATGCAATGTTTTAAAAAGTCAAAATTAATGCCACAAGTACATGATAAATAAAACATCAACATTTTAAATAGACAGGATCAGTATCTGATCCATGGTGGATGAAACGGACCACAGTTCCAACTCAGTGGGGTGATTATTTTTTAAAGCAGTGGTTCTCGGTGTGGTCCTGGGCCAAACAGCACCAGGATCTCCTGAAAACTTGTTAGAAACGCTGACTCTCAGGCCCCACTACAAGCTACTGATCTGGAACTCTGGGGTGGAGTCCAGCTATCAAAACCACTGTGCTAAAGAATAGGTAATGGAACTACTGTTTGACCCATCAATACCACTTTTAGAAATATATCCTAAGAATCCTGAAACACCAATCAGAATGAATATATACACCCCTATGTTCACAGCAGTGCTACTTACAAAAGCTAAGATGTGGAAACAGCCCAAGTGCCCATGAATAGATGAGTGAATGAAAAAGCTGTGGTACATTTATACAACGGAATACTATGCAGTCGTAAAAAGGAAGAATTTAAAAAAATATGTTTTTATTGTTTTGTTTTTTTTTGAGAGAGAAACGTCGACGTGGGAGAGAAACATCAATGTGAGAGAGATACATCGGTTGACTGCCTCCTGCACACCCCCTCCTGGGGATTGAGCCCGCAACTCAAGCATGTGTCCTGATCAGAATTGAAATGGGACTTCTCAGTCCAAAGGGCAACACTCAATCCACTGAGCCACACCGGCCAGGCAAAAAGAAGGATTTCTTACCCTTTGTGACAGCATGGATGGACCTGGAGACTATTATGCTGAGTGAAATAAGCCAGTCAGAGAAAGACAAATATCACTTTTATGTGGAATCTAATGAACATCATAAACTGATGAACAAAACAGGTCCAGAGGCATGAGTGCATGGAACAGATGGACAGACCTCAGGGTGGGTGTGGGAGGGGAGGAGACAACGAGAAGAGATTAACCAAAGAAAGAACTTACACATATGCAAAGCTGATGGACAGACAACAGTGTGGTGAAGGCCCGGGGTGGGGCAGGGACTAGGAGGGAGGCTAAGGGGGTGAGGAACTGGGGGACGTCTGTAATACTATCAACAATAAAAAATAAAAATATAAGCCCGGCCAGTGTGGCTCACTGGTTGAGCATTGACCAAGAGGTCGCTGGTTCAACCTGGTCAGGACACATGCCCAGGTTATGGGCCTGATCCTCAGTGAGGGGCATGCGGGAGGCAGCCAATCAATGTTCTCTCTCATTGATGTTTCTCTCTCTCTCTCTCTCTCTCTAAAATCAATAAGGACAAAAAATTAAACTCCTACAATGTTGATAGAAAATGTATATTAACTGGTTTTCACAGGCAATCCTCAGTGAACATCTGCTCTAAGCCTGACCCTGTGCTAAGCTTTGGGGACATGCTTATTACCTAATTTTCCAGAGGAGAAAACTGAGCTTGAGCTGGGTTCAGTCACTGCCTGAGGTTGCCCGGCAAGGACATGGTAGAACAGACTGGAGTCCAGGTCTGTCTGACTCTAACGTTAGCACCTGTGCAAACACTCTGGCTAAGGGCAAAGAAGTGGACGGACCAGATGCTTGAGCTCACCCTCCGACTCCGACTCCTCTTCATCTTCCTCTTCCTCCTCTTCATTGCTTTCATCCTCACTCTCTTCCTCTTTGGCAATTTTCTGCCGTGCACTCTTGAACACTGACTGTAAGACGATGGAGTCTTCGTAGATCTAAAGGGTCCAAGTGACATCTGTTAGAAACCGCGAGCTGAGGGCCTGAGATTCACAATCGCAGTGGGCATTCCTCTGCCTTACGAAGCCCGCCAGCTTTATTTCACATGGGAGGTAGTAGAAACATCCCTGTGAGCTTTTATGCTTATAGGACACTCAAATAGGAAAATGCCCAAGTCTAATGCCGACACACATGCTCTTATAGAAAAAAGTCCACATGCAGTTGAAATAATGTCTGTGTGGGTGTGTGTGTGTGTGTGTGTGCATGCGCACTTGGGAGAAAGGTGGACTTCTGTAACATATCCTCTCATCTTTGACAACAAAAGTATTTTAAAACCCTTTCTTCTTTGGATTGATCTATTAAACAGTGTGACAAAGCAACATTCTTTAAAATGCAATTCCCCTAACAAAATGGAGGCTATTCTTTGTTATTGAGCTGATCAGTACCAGTCGATACTGTTCCAATCAATACTTTATTTTTAGTGTACACACATACCTGAGCATAGCCCTGTGTAGTTGCTGAAAGAGATAAAGTTCTAAAATGTTCGTTGTGTTTTTTCCTAATAAATTTAAAATAGAAGCACCATATGTCTAGCAATCCCACTTGTAGGTCTATATCCAAAAGAATGGACAGCAAGGACTTGAAGAGACATTTGCACACCCAGGTTAACTGCAGCATTCTTCACAAGAGCCAGGAGGTAAAAGTAAACCAATGTCCATTGACGGATGGATAAACAAAATGTGGTATGCACACACAATGGAATATTATTCAGCCTTGAAAAAGGAAGAAAATCCTGCCACATGCTACAACATGTGGATGAACCTTGAGGACATTATGCTAAGTGAAATAAGTCAATTACAAAAAGACAAATACTAAATGATTCCACTTATATGGGGTATCTAAAGTAGTCAAATTCATAAAATAGAAAGCAGAACAGAGGTTGTCAGGGGCAGGGAGGGGAGATGGGAATTGTTTACTGTGTACCAAGTTTCCATTTTATAAGATGAAAGTTCTGGAGATCTACTGTCCAACAGATCTACTAACACTACTGACCTAAACACTTAAAAAAAAATTTTTTTTTTCTTTACTGATTTTTAAAGAAGAGGGAGAGGGAAAGACAGATAGAAACATTGATGAGAAAGAACATAGACTGACCACCTCCTGCATGCTCCCCACTGGGGATCGGGCCCACAACCTGGGCATGTGCCCTGACCGGGAATCAAACCGGCAACCTCTTAGAGCATGGGTCGACCCTCAACCACTGAGCCACACTGGCCGGGCCTGACCTACGCACTTCAAGGTTAAGCCCTGGCTCATTAGTTAGACCATCAGCCCAAGGACCAAAGGGTCGCAGGTTCGGTTCCCAGTCAAGGGCACATACCTAGGCTGCCGGTTTGATCCCTGACCCTGGCCGGGGCACATGTGGGAGGCAACCAATTGATGTGTCTCTCTTACATTGATGTTTCTCTCTCTCTCTCCTCCCCTTCCTTCCTTCTATGCTCTCTAAAAGTCAATGAAAAAAATACCCTTGGGTAAGGATTAAAAAACATTTTTTTTTAATGGTTAAGAAGATAAATTTTGTGTTTTGCACAGTTAAGCAAAAAATAAAGAACAAGAAAAAAGGATTGCTGCTCTCTAGGAGCATATTTCTTTACTGTAAAGATGAGCCCCATGTGGTGAGTCCCCCCAAAAACAGTCCAATAGGAGGACACAGGACCGGGGACAGCACTGGGATGGGGCCCCTGGGGAGAACTACCGGGGACTTCAGAGATGAGCTGGATCGTCAGGGTGAGGAGGGCCCCTTGGGGGAGGAGAGCAAGTACGAACGGCAAGGAGGCAAGAATAAGAAAGACGGGCGGGCCTGCGCTAGTGCCGACTCCCGGTCACCACGGACTGGGCTACACAACACGTCCCTGCCTTGGGATGACACCAAGGGGACACAGACTCTGTGCAGTACTTCTCTCCACCGCGTGCACATCCGGGGAAGCAGGTGTTCAAGGGACCAGCCTGACTACCCCATAAACTGCTTAGCTTCAGGGGCAGCAGGACATGAGGCTCAAGAGCAGGGTAGGGTGAACATCTAGAAAACAGGCTATGGAGGTTACATTTATTCTGGAATTCAGTAGCACACACGGAACCATCAAGCATGGTGGGCAGTGGATGGACAGGATAAGAAGGGGGACAGAAAGAAACATCTCCAGGACGGGCCAGAGGGAAGCCAGTCAGGCCATTTCAGGGGTGAGACGGGAGTGCGGACAGGCAGGGGCTGTGGGACTGCAAGTGGACAGGGTACGGCTGTGGGCACAGCTGCCATACTCTCCACAATACAAATACATGTACAAAAAGGAACCCAAAATCTATCCAGACACTGTAAACGGCCATTCACAAAAAACGTCCTTGTTGGCTTGTGTAGTTACTCTCTCCGTCCTGGTTTTCACCTTATGGTTCTTTTAAGAGTGTCTTCAACACGCAAGGTTTGCTTTCAAGACCTGTTTTGGTCAAAACAGCATTACCGTCAGCTGCAACTAACCCAGACATGTACAGCTCAAGGCACAGTCTGCGGGTCCCGGGTTCCCCAACGGAGAGACTGGAACGGAAGTGAAGGTCAGGCAGCAAGGTGGGGAGGGGTGCAAGGGCTGTAATGACAGGGCACTTCGGCAGGCACGCCCACCTCCCCCGCTCTCTCCTCACCCGCGTGAGTGCGCCAGGCCAGCAACAGGACCGGAAGGAGGGAGTTCTACACAAGGTGAGAGGAACTGAAGTGTGAGTCAAGCGAAAGGGTCCTCCTCCTAGTTATTTTTAATAAATTCAATGTCACTTACATATTCTTAGGCTCTTTTACTGTAGAAATGGGGGAATAAAGAGAATTGCAATGGGTCTGACAAAAGAGCAATTTTTTTGTCAGCAATTAAGTCAATGTTCTTTTTAACTTTTTTTTTTTTTTTTTTTGAGAGTCGAAGGGAGGGGAGAGAGAAAGAAAGAGAGAAAGATCAATGTATGAGACACACTGCACACTGATTGGCTGCCTCCTGCATGTGCCCTGACCGGGACTGGGGATCGAACCTGAGACCCTTCAGTCTGCAGGTTGACACTCTAACCGCGGAGCAAAACCGGCCAGGGCACATTTTTGGTTTTAAATCACAGTAGTTTCAACTCCTGATGCAAGGTTACAATCAGAAACGAACGTAAATGTAATCAAACACACAAACTCTATGAAGGCCAAGATGGGACCTCCTGCCTGCAGGCATCACACGAGGTGACTTCCCTGAGCCTGCTCTAATGGGAAGCGCAGCCGTTCAGGGAAGGGTGAGCGGGAGTCAGCACGGCTGTGGTCAGAAGAGCCGGCGCGAGGTGAAACTTCCAGAGCCTCGATGTGCTCACACAGGCAGCGTGGAACACAGGCTTTTCATTTTCCTTCTGCCGGGGCAGTAGCAATGGTTCGAATGTAGAAGATGGTATGTTTTACTTAAAGAACACAAGACATTCTAGGTTAACATTTTTTCAGACGACTCAACACAGACCTGGGATCCCTCCAAGTTGAACGTCTGGGCGTTATGACAGAGAAGCATGACATCTTTCTCCAGGTCACCCAGGCTCCGGTACTTATGATTACGGATTCTTTCCTGAAGAAAATTATTGATGAAATAGAGGAAAGAAGAGAAAGAGAAAAAGACAACAGTCATTACCGGCTTCACAAAGCCTGGTTTTCCCTTTGTCTTCTCAACATACAGCCCTGCCCGAGGGGTGGGACTGGGGTGCCGATCCCAGAAGCCCCCCTCCCGCTCATGTGCCTTCTCACAAGGGGGAAGGGGGAGCATACGATGGGAAACAGAAGGAGCAATAGGTCTGAAAAGTATGAAATTTCTTAAGTAAAATACAATATAATAAAACGGAGCTCTCAGTGTCGTGATTAAACACCACACGTGTGAAGGCACAAGGACATCCCACCCTTTCTGGTGACAAGCCCTGCATGGGTGTCACTGGCGCTCAGCCAAGATGCTGCTGCCACAGCCTAACTATCATCGTTTCAATGAATTTACGCTTCTTGATTAAAAAAAATAAAGTTTAAAAAAAAATCTACCTTTATTTTTTTGAAATCCACCGGCTTCCTAATTAATTCATAGTATTCTGGTAATTCTTTCCTTGAAGGTAACTGAATGAAGACTTCACTGAGCTGTCGCCCTGAACTGCAGGGTGGGGGAAACAAACAGACACATAACAGATCATGCACTACTGAGGAAAGGCTCCATTTCATTTCATTTCATTTCATTTCATTTCAGAAAGTGTCAGAAAAGCAAACTGGCATCCCATGCATACTGACGTGGGGCCTTTATATCAACGACGATCCTACCACTCGACTGGAGACTAATGCCTTTTCTTCGAACTTCAAAATCACATTAAAACACCATTAGGTCCCCACTGATGGCACACGTCTGTACGAGAAGTCCACTGTGGATTTCTTTCAGAGCAGTTCTAACTTTTCATTTTGATAGAAAAATTTTAAATATGCCATTCAACCAAAATTCAATTGAGTTGGTAAAGCAACAACAGACTTTATTTCCATATTCCTTTGTCTTCAAATTCACTTTATATTTGGAAAATATGTGAGAATGTACTCTGGAAATGCAAATGAAATGCTTTTGTATCTACCTAGTGACTGTCTTTTGGGTCTTGTTCTTCTTACAGTATTTTACACACTGTAGCTTTATTATTATCTGCCAGAGGAACCTCTTCATCTTGCCTCGCTGCACTTTTGTGTGTATGAAGCAATTTGGGTGGAAAAAAACAAACGTATTTAGCAAGTGTGGATGCCTGATGTTTCTGGAATTAGTGCTGCACCCTCCTCCAAATGCATGGGAGCTTTATTTGAAAGCAGATTCAACAGCAACAAATGCTTAGCATTTTGTAATTTTGAGAAACAGGCTATAAAGCAGCATAAGCTTTTAACGTCATTGAATATTAGAAGCAGACATGGTTAAAGGAACAAAATATACATAATTTAGATTCACAAGCCTGATATCTGACTTGGCCTATCTAGATCAATAACAGCTGGTGGGATATGGTATAGTCATTCTTCTCACACACACACACACACACACACACACACACTCGCTTCTCTTATGATGCCATCTCTTTGTGAAGCCAAATATCAAAAAATAACCATAAATCACTGCCATGTAGATTTCAGAAGGTGATTTTAGGAGTGTGCTAGAATGCTAGAAGCAGCAGCAAAGAATGAGTGACAATATGCTGTTTTAATCCACAGTCCCAGTTGTATAATTAAAAAATAATCATAATGACAGTTATCATAAGAAAGGCATGCGCAGTAACTCAAACGGTTGCCTAGCAACCAGTGGGGGAAATGCTGGAGTGCAAAGGGGCCTGCATAAATTACCCGAAAATCCTCCGTCAAAGGGATGGGCGAGTTTTTCTGTTTTACTGGGTCACTGTTTTGTTTTTTAATGCATATATGGGCTTCATGAATACTAAAATCAGAAGCAAACAAAGAGGTTTAAAAAGACTGTAGTTTAATAGGGAATTGGATTTGTAGATTATTGTGGCAAAAATCAAGGTGTTCGCTCACACTCACAGACTCACAGCCACTCCCACGCACCCCCACCCCCCACCTTCCCAGGTTGGGAAATGCATTTGTACCTCCGTAAGGTATGCCATATAGTATATGACAAAACCTGTTTTATTTACTATCGCCTTCAACGTATGGCCACCACTTCTGGTCTATTCTTTTTCTACAGTTCTGAGATTTTATATATACAGACATTTTACCTATTTGAAAAGGAATATCTGAAAGGCAATTTATAGATACTAGTCTTTCTATTTCTGTCAGTGACTTCTTTATGATTAGCATTTTTTGTAACCTAGCAACAATAAAAAAGGCAGACCTCTTTGTAATCTTGGATCTAACACCTGACCCTCAATGACATCTTCACAGTGTCATTTTCTACATTGCCAACAGATGGTGTCATTTTTCTATTGACAGACCATGAGCACATCTTTGCTTTGTACACCTGTGATGGACATACTCTTCACTTCAACTGTGCCACCGGTGAAATGAGAAATGCGTGTTTGGCACCGAGAGTGTGATAGAGCCCTTACAGGGCCCAAATGGCTCGAACAAGCTTGGTTTGCAGTCTCTGCCCTCCGTCAGGTCAGAGAAAGTCTAGACCCTATAAGGAGACAAGCCCAGAGTTATATGTGCTCATAAAGGACAGAACTGAATGTTCTGAGACTCGGGGCCAGTATTGTCAAATGAGACATTTATTCTCCTTCAAAATATCCCGGTCCCACTTTTCCTTCCTCTTCCTGAGAACAGAGGCCCTGGGCAGGGGGAGGGCCTGGAAACGTGGAAGAAGTCTTCCTCGGCTCTGCTGGCTCCACCATTCAAACCTCTGCGTGGCTTTCGACGCCCTCGGCTCATCCTCTGCACACCCGGCTGCACTGCTGACCTGACGTCGGATCAGGACAGCCTCTCCTACCCCACGCCCCACGGCCACCCCCACACCCCGCTTTACAACCGATCCCCAGTCTCCAGAGCTGACCCATCTCTCCCTCCATGGCTGAAGGGTCTTTCCTCGTCTTCGAATACCTCCTTATCCATCCAGGATCCAGAACCTTCAACGTAAAAATGAAACAAATTCTCCTCAATATTAACTAACTCTCGGTACCCCACTGCTCAGAACTGAATCCTCCCACGGGTGTTTCTCCCTCTCGCCCCCACACAGGGCGGAACGTTTTCCTTGCAGCCAGGTGCCGCCCCTCCCCCACCTTCGGCAGAGGGTCTGGCGGGCAGCTCAGGGGAAATACATGAGCTTTTCCATAACCCACAGAATGCACCCAGTCGGGGGGCCGCTCGCTAATGAATCACTACAGTAACTTATTTCTTCCTCAAGTCAAGGTTAAAAAATATAAGAAAAAAGTGGAAGTGCAGCGGCCTGATAGTTTTGAATTCTTGGCATTTCTTTCTCAAACTTAAGCTGAGCAAAGGCCTTTTCAATATACCTTTTCAAGGGTTTTATTTTCCCCCCAGTGCTGGAAAGTTTTGTGTGTGTGTTTTTTAAGTACAGAACAATGGACTAATTGTACAGTGGTTTGCACAAGGTGTTCTGTTTCTATTGAAATGCTTACCCTACTCCCAAGGTATTTTCCATTATGTCATTTTACATAATTTAAGGCCTAAGTATAGATTGTTACCTTGAAGTGTGCTTCCCATCACAAAAGTGATACCAGCTCCCCTTCTCTAAAAAGGATTCCACTGCCGGGCTGTAATTTCACATCTACTTCATACAATGATCTATCACAGAATAAGAATAAGTGACCCTAATAAATAAGGTGGGTGGTGGGAGAGTAACCTGAAATAAAAATGTAAAGGAACCCACTGCACTTAACAGAGTTTACTGGTGCTGGTGGGCAAACAGAGTTTCTCTCCACAGAGGTCATGATGTCATGCTGTGAGATGCTGAGGCCCTACAGGCTGCTGTGTCAATGGGGGTTTGAAACCAAGTGTATACCTTACACACACACACATGATTTACTGTGCTATGCTTCATCTGGGAACCAATATCCTTCCCATTACCCCCACAGGCCCAATGGCAATAGTTTCATATCTATACTACTGTGATTCTAAAATGACGACTGCATGCATTATAAGCATTACATCTATTGCAACTTTACTTCTGGTTATAGTTTAGGAATAGCTGAAAGAGTGCAAACACGGAAATGCTAGCTGGTAAACGAACTCCTTTAAAATACTATTACGGCTTTCCGACAAGCCCAAACCAAGAAGATAACGATAATTTGGTGATTCTTGTCTTTTTTTTGTGTGTGTGTGGCTTTATGATTTTTCTTTTTATTTGCCCAAAGGCATTTCTAATAGTTACTTGTGAAAAAAAGATTTTAACTAAAGTTGAAATAGGTTTTGTTTAGTTAATGAATGTAAAAATGTGGCTATCTTGCCTCTGTGAGAAAATGATATCTTGGTTTAGAGTTCTTCCCACTTGGAGTGGGAAGAATTTTACAGAAAGGTTATTCCAGTCCTAAAGGAATCAAACCCAGGAAATCATGTGGGAAAAAAAACTATAAAACTGGGTCAACATTGGAGGGCAGTGGGTGAAAGCCAGTTGCTGCTTTTCAGGGTCAGATTCCTGTAAGATTTATTTACTACATATCACTTAAACACACACTTAGATCAGCAGCACCCCACTTATCCAGAAAGACCCCAGAAACCCGAGCCAGCCACCAGTCAGGAAGCACTCTGTATTCCTGCTGAGATCTCTCCTCTGCGCCTTATTGGGCAATGACTGGTGATCATTTCTGACAAGCTTGGGTATCTGACTCCCTGGACTGTTGAAGCATATATGAGATAAACAGCAAAACAGAGAGGGATGGGAGCAGTCTTGCTTTTGGTAGTGGAATTAGTAGGTGGTAAAAGTCACCAAGGATTATGTTAAGGATTACAGGTATATGATGGGCTTGAGTTATCAACAAAAATAAGGTTACATCAGGTTAATGCAAGGTAAATGCCCTGATGTTAAGACACTAGAATGGGCTGGCTCAGCTCGGTAAGAAAAGCACCAAGGCTTTATCAAACCTTTAATACAAGCACACTCTGAAGCACAGTTTGACTTTTGATAATCTACTCTAAGCGAAAATATAGATAACACATATATTTTATGTGTGTGTATATATACACGTATTTGTGTGTATACATATTTAAATGTATGTGTTTGTATATACACATATACATATACACTTATGTATACATATGTAACTTTATATGTATATGCTAGAGAGTCTAAAATTATGTTTTAAAATTATGTCCCTTAAAGAACAGTATTTGTTATAACATTCACTGAAAAAAGGGCACAGGATATTACATTTCAAATGCAGGACAACTTCAATAAAGTTTTTAAAAAGGCACTAATGTAGGACCACTGAGATATGCCAGAGTATAAACAATAATAATGCACTCTGATTCAACAAAATTAAGATTTACAATCTACTATAATTTAGAACCATATTATCACCCATAATTAAAGTAGGTATCAAACACTTTTATTAGGTTACCTTCTTTGAAAACATGCTGTAAGTCAAAAGTCTACTCTGATTTTTCCTAGAGAAATGATGTCTAAGAGGCATATGCCCCACCTTTATTTATGAGCATGATCATCCCATTTCACCAACTGGCACCTTTTAACTCTACCATACAAAGCCAAGTAAATGAGTAAATAGATAACAAAAGAGAATAATTCTATAAAATTTTAAATATATTATAACTGTCAGCATCTACTATATAAAGTTTCTATTCAGGATTCTCTCACTGAACTTATTACTGCAAATCAGAGGTGCCCGGCAGGACATGGGATTCATAGAGTATTACTTGTTTGCTTGTTTCTTTAAGCAAGTCTTTTAAAGAGACATTGGAGAAGATATATCATCTATCACTTGAGACTTTTTAGAAACAGTGACTCAGGGCCTCTAGATGCTTCTCTTTCTCTCACTTAACACTTCATAATAGCAGGTACAGGTACAGGATTCTAACGGTCCATCTGTCTACAAGTGACAGCTAAATGGCCTGCTGCATCCTGGGTCAGCCACTTTGCCAGCTTTCATCACCTCAGAGGGTGCCTTCCTTCCAAAAGGTAAGGGCCCATCTTCCCTTCCACGGACTTTGATCTTTTTCTGTGCCTCTACGTCGTAAGGTTAAAAAAAAAAAAATGCGTCACAGATTTTGGCTGAGTTGTGATCCAACTCAAAAGCATAAAGCTTTTTGCAGGCAAACAAAATCAAATGCTTCTATCCCTGAGCCGCAAGTCCCAAGTGTCACTTTGTTAAGGGGTTGGATCTAGCAGGCTCTCGAGCATTGCTTTTTCCTATAGTGACCCTTTTAATAAATGCTTAAGGATGACATATGATGTGTGATTATAAAGGAGTGAGGCAGATTTTCCCCTATGAATCCACAAGAACATACAAGTTGGCAGAAGTAGGTTTACAGTTGTGAGTACATGAACAGAGTTTACTCGTATATTATTTTTATTGTATTATTTTCGATATGAACAACTGTAGACCTCCTTTGTCCACGCTTGTATATGCCCAAACGACTGCCATCTTTTGGTGCGGTCCATTTCTGATGAAAACACAGGGTTGTTTTGAAGACGGTTTCTAAGACAGTTAAGAGAATGAGTTCTGTTGCTTCCAGCTGGGACTCCTTCCCCTCCCTCAGAGAGGCCATTTATGCTGCAACAGGCCTGGAGCTTCGAGAGGCAGAGACCCTAGGCTTCTGCTGGAAGCCTTGGGGAGGCCTTTTGTGCCTGGCAAGGCAGACCAACCAAGTTTATTTGTGGCCTGCCCACCTGCTGTATGTGGGTATAATTGCCTGAACAACATAAATATCAAGTCAACAGGAGTCAAAGCAGCCTACTCCAGCAAGCATCTGAAAGTATCAATATTTGTAAGGGGGGCAAAATAAAGTGCTGGAATCCAGGTTCCCTGAGCAGATTCTCTCTGAACTAAATGCAGCTTCTGAGCTCAAATTCAACACTTCCCATAGTGTGCTCCGTGGAACACAAGCTTAATGGATTACTAACAGTCTTCCTTGAAGATGGGGGGAGGGGAGGCTTCTTTGCTCAAACAAATTTGGGAAACACTGGATTAAACAAAGTTCAACAGGATACTTTACAGCATAACTTCTTAGAGCCTCTAACTGCACTGGGCATTCTCTAAGAAGCTATAGGACATGTGTGTGAGGGCCACACTCTGGGAAGGGTCGTCTCAGGCATGAGGCTGTGACCTCGCTGGGCTGCAACTACATGAGATAAACTGTCAGTGAGGGTGAGCCCCAGGTGTCCAATACAGAGAGGGAAGGAGCGGGGGAAGGCTCTGCACCTAGAACCAGGATTTTCTACAAGTGCATCCGCTTGGTCACATTACTGTTTCATGGCAGTGTGTCTATAATCTGATCAGGGTATTAAGTGCAAAGGGGCTTGGTCCTGAGATCCACAGTTACAGCCCCTCTACTGCACTGAAAGAAATATGGAACCTCTGGGGCCAACACTGCTAAAAATAAATTTTACCTAAAAGAGCTTCTTGGCTGGTCCTGAGGGATAGTCAATACTAACAAAATAATCACTGCGTCAACGGCTGTTAATAGCTATGGGGAGAATTTAGATTTCCTGGTATGGACAACGTGGGGTTGGGTAGCTACACACACACACACACACACACACGCGCGCGCGCGCGCCACGTTTTCATTTCACTGCATTTCTGTGAGTGACACCACATTCACTGACCACTCAGGACAGACATCCAGGAGTTATCTTCCTCCTCTCACATCTAGTCTGCCTCGAAGTCTCTTCAACCACACCTCTAAGTATACGTTCTCTCGTCTTCATACCCACTGCCATGTCCCTCTTCTCTTGTACCTGATGGCCCAGCCTACTGTGGTCCTAAGGGGGCCCTGCTCTTCCATCCCCCATGGCTGCCCACACACCTGGGACTGGGCGCGCTTGCCTTCTCCCCCCACCTCTACCCCCGGCTCTGGGGGGAATCCCCACTCTGCCTACAAGTCTACCTGAAGTGTCCCCACTCCTGCCCCCTCCCGCTCCCCCACATATATACTTCATTCATACTATACATCCGTTATTACTCTCTAGAGTTCTTTACAACTATGCTTCAAGGTGTTCCATTTTTTCATTTCTCTCCCATTCTCAATACCTGCACAGAGATTGACAGAAAATGCTGTGCTTCTGAGCACAAGAAGAAAGAATTTAAAAAATGCATGCATCATAATACAGCCTCCCAACATGTCACTTGGGCTTATGGGAAAAGAAAGCATATGTAAGAGTGAGGGACGAAACAGACCCCCAGCCCCGAGGACGCAAACATGAGCCCCTGCTATGGCTCTGGAAATTCCAGTTTAAACATGTCTTCAGTGAAAGTGGACTTATCTAGGTCCCAACAACCTGCAGTCATACCATCTCCTCAAAAATCCCTGGCGAGACACTGGAAGCGTACAATATCACCTTTCAAGTGCCCATCAATCCACTTTCCATGGTCATGTGACCATTCTGATGGAAGAGGGGAAAACGAGCTTATACTCTTGCTCACTGGGCTGGCCGTTTAGCCTACATCATACCACTCACCCCTAAAAGCCTCCTTTCTGGGTTGTGGGGGTAGAGTGTTTACCCATGTTGGTTCATTATTTAAAATGCCCATACTAATAAAGTCAAGTATTTATTGTTTCAATTCTGAAATTCGAATCCACACTGAGTGCTTTGTCAAGAGCAGCAAAAACAGAACACAATTCTTGATGTCTTTCAGTACACACTATGGATGGTGTGCCTGGCTTCCAGGACTGATGACTGTTTACTGAACACCAATAAGAAATATTAAAAAAAAGAAGACAATCTTGTCCAATAGTTTCGTCTCCACACAGATAAAGGAGAACGCCACAGCTGGTGACCCGTCTGCATTCTGAAATGCGGGACACACTTTCTGTTCTTTCTCCGCCTCGCTCTAATCGGATCTTAACACTAGTGGGGGGAAAAAATGCCATAAAGGATGTTACTGGGGCAACTGACAAAAGTGGAATAGAGATGGTAAAGTATTATGTTGCTATTTTTTAAAGGTACAGGCTGGACTGAAAGGAGAAAAGAAATGTTATTTTCAATAACAACTCCCAACTGTGGTAAATCATGCAAATCCCTCTCTCCCTCTCAGCTAACATCATCTCATTCTCACAAGATCTCCAGGAGAAAAGCATTTCTACTTTCTACCCAACAGAAGCAAAGGCACGCAAAGGCTACACAGACGGGCTTAGGACGCTTAGGACCGCAGGGGACAGGTAGGCCAGAAGTCACTCCCTGCACCCGACCCAGCCGCGATTTAACTCGGAATGTCAGACACAGTGCACCGCAGGAGATCCAAGCACCGCGGTGCTTTCCACGGAGCTTCTAAAGCAAGAAGCACAGAATGAAGAGGCCCGCAGGACGCAAAACACAAGCTGCGCTGAAAGGGAGGGGGAGCGACAGAAACCCACGTCCCAGGTGCTGCGGGTGGGGCAGGCCTGCTGGGGACGCCTTCGTAAGAAGTGCATGTTCAGAGTGGACACCCCCAACGCAAACACTGCACAAACAACCCCGAGGCCACGGCAGGTGTCCTGGAATATCTGCGCCTCCATCCTGCACTCCGAGAGGGGGTCATCGGGAGGCGGCCGGAGAAGTGTTTCCACTCCTTAGGAGTCGGTCTGTGGCGCACCGAGGGATACCTGTATTTAGAGACACGGGAGTACAAGACAGATCCTGACCTGTTTCCTTCTATTTCCAACTGAGAATTACTGGGCACCTTCTCCACGTTACACCTGCGGTAGAGTAGAAAGAACACTAGCGTCAGAAGACCTGGGTACCCGTCCCGGCCTGGCTCCTGCCTCCTAGGTTGGGTGACCTGAGGTCACTCATTTTTTCACTCTCCAAGCCTGTCTCCTCACCTACCTACCTGCCTTCCCCGCCTCACGGGAAGGTTGGGAACATCACACAGGGTTATGTTTGGAACCTCGTGCTGAAAAAATATACATTTCTCCAGAAATGGGGGGGAGGGTTTGTTTTTAACGTCTTTGAGACTTTTCCAGCTTCTCTCAAACACATAGATGCCCGCTAGGCTGCTGCCACTTCCTGCCACACGGGCTCTGCGTGGCCTTTGGGTGCACACGCCATCCTGGGTTCCGGAAGCAGTGGGAGGCAGGCAGCGTCTGCCAGGCTTGTGTGTGTGGCCCCAGGAACGTGGCTCCTCCCGTGGGAGACGACAGATGACACTTACCTCAGGAAGTTGCTGTAACACTGAACGGGATGCCGTACTTGGCTACGGCACCGGCACACACGGGGTGCACCCGAAAACTGCCAGCCCGGTTTCTGAACATCATCTGGGCAGTGGGCTCCACTTCCCAGAACTCTGTCCATTCCCACAGCTCCCTGAGCTAAAGATCTTTAACTGAAGTGCTGACAAAGCAGCACCTGAGGTCTCTAGTCCTTTTGGGGGCTCCGGATGTGGAAACTGCTGTGCTGGTGGCCCTCCATGCGGGGTCAGAGATGTGGCTGAGAGGTGCGGCAGATCTTGAGAAAAACCTCCCCTCCCTTGAGATCTTACCCAAGGCACCTTCTGGCACGCGTGGCACCACGTGTGGCCACGCAGGGACCCCTCCTCGGACCCATTGCCCTCTCTGCCTTGGGAATGCGGGTGGCATTGCAAACCACAGAGAGAAGCAGAGAGAGCAGCACAGGCCCTGCTCAAACTACGGAGAAGTCGGTGGAATGTCTGAACCTCAAGGGGGGCCTGTAGGAGAACCGAGCTGGAAAGCTCCAAGGGCCAGATCGTGGAAGACTCTCCCCCATGGCAGAAGTCTGATCACCAGGCTGGCTACTGAAGTGTTCCACGGGAGCCTGTTCAAAGTTCTTAAATAACAATCTGACGTGATCAGATACCTGTCCAGGGGGAAGGCAGAATGACGGGCAGACCAGAGGCAGGGGACACAGGCAGGGCACAGCTGTCCCAGGCCAGGCCAGCGATGGGAGGGCCCAAAGAAGACAGTGTGCAAGGAGGCAGGAGTGGGGGTGCGCTGGGGAGATGTCTGTGTGCTGAGGAAACTTGGTATCAGAGTGCATGTCAGGAATAAGGTACAGAACTGGGAATACTTCTACCACTGCCCTTTGGGGACGCTGAACTGATGGTGGTGTTAACCAAGGGGATACACACAGAAGACAAAATAGACCGTGTCGTCTCAGAACACATGAAAGTAAAGGAAGAGAAACCTGCCAATGACAGACGCTGAGACATTTTACAGATCATACTGCAAACAGCTTGAGAAAAGAGGGGCATGGTTCTGTGATATGAGAGTAATGGAAACGACAACCCCCTGGAGATGCAAGGCTCTGAACAAAGGGAATTCCAGCAGAGTAACTGAAAATGGGGCTGATAAGGAGCACATGGGGATGGTCTACAGGGCTGGTCGGCAATCTGGTGGGCATGGGGGGAAAATACAAACAAACAAAAATAATATTAAATAATGGTATGGCCCTGCCGGTGTGGCTCAGTGGTTGAGCATTGATCCATGCACCAAGAGGTCGCTGGTTCAATTCCTGGTCAGGGCATATGCCCAGGTTGTGGGCCTGATCCCCAGTGGGGGGCATGCAGGAGGCAGACGATCGATGTTCTCTCTCATCGATGTTTTTTTCTCTCTCCCTCTCCCTTCCTCTCTCTCTAAAATCAATAAAGAAAAAAATTTTTTTTTAAATGGTATGGATTTGGCTTTAAGAATGTATGTTACGCCCTGGCTGTTTTGCTCAACGGTTAGAGCATTGGCCTGCAGTACAGAGAGACCTGGGTTCAGTTCCCGCTAAGGGCATGTACCTCGGTTGGATTGTCCCCGGCCCTGGTTGGGTCATGTGGGTGCAAACCACTCAACGTGTCCCTTTCACGTCGATGTTTCTCTCTCTCTCTTCCTCTCTCTCCCTCCCACTCTATCTGAACAACAACACCACCAAAAAAAACAAAAAAACGAAAAACTGTTCTCAGGTGAGGATTAAAAAAAAAAGAAGAATGTATGTTACTACAATATGGCCTAGTATGAATAGTCTACCTCGGATGGAAGTCTCAGGATGGTGATTGACATGGCAAAGCTTCTAACACAGCAAACACCTAAATGTACTTCAGGTAAAGCACTTTGGAGACAAAATCTTAGAACAATGCAACACTTTTTAATAAGAGTCCGCCCTTCTGGAGAATGAGCTGGGTGTGAGCCTTCAAAACAGTGGTCAGCTTTTCTCGAAACGAGGGAAATGCTGCGAAGGCCTTGCCAGCGTGCGTAGGGGCGGAACGCGGACTCAGGCTTAGGCTGCAGCGCCGAGCCTTGGGAAGGTGCTATAAGGAATGAGGAATGTTGTATCTGTTACCCTGGTAAATGTCGTTATAACTGATACATATGTATACAATTTAATGTTCCCCCTAAAAGTGACCATAAACATGAGATGATGTCATTGTAGCCTCATGTAATGGGTTCACATGACCCCCCCCCTTCTCTGAATTCCTCAGTCCACTGCCTGTTCAGTAACACCGGGTAGGAGGGCTACCCCCTCCACCACATGGTGAGCCCATGGGACAAGCACCTCTGGCCTGTTCAGCAGTCCAGGGCGCTGGGAACAAGGAAGACATGCAATGAATGAATGAGTTTCTACAACGTGACAAGAGCGAAGGTTCAGACACGCTAAGGCGCACCACCAGTCCTGCACATCGCATCAGGGCTCACTAAGAGAGGGGCAAGGAGACAGTCCCGGTGCAGGGAAGAGAGCAGAGCCTGAGGAGCCTCAGGAGAAAGGAGCCCGATGGGTGTCACCCCTGCCACCCCTCTGTTGCCAGGGCTGTGTTCAATCGGACAGGCCAGGCAGGTGGCGCCTGCCTTCCCCACTGCTTCCCTGTGTCCGTTCTCAAAGCTGGTGGACCTGAAGTCTGAACCCTTTGCAGACCACAGGGCCAGTCCTCAGGAACCGCTCCTGCTACAGTCATCAAACACTTGGTGGAGAGGGAACAGGTGACAATAACCTTCATCTTCTGATTCCAGATTTTTCAGAAATGAGAACAATGCTTGGATTTGCAAAGCAAGGCATAATAAAAGTTGAACAAGAGCTACTGACGGGAGAGTGGATAGAAAGCAAGTCAAGACGCTTCCAATGAGTTCAAGTGTCCCGTTGCAAACTAATTACACCCTGAGACAGTGTGTAGATTGCTCCTGTTAATACTGGCTAAGAAATCAGAGAACAGCAACGCATCCGAAGGCTAGAGATAAGCAAATGTCCCACTTCAAAAGGAGACAGGAAACTGGAGCCTGCTGTGCTCCTGGGCACCCTTGCTAAAAACTTCCCAGAAATTATTCAGATGCCATGGGGCCACTTAGAGAAGATAAATAACATCATTAAGGACCGGTAGGGGGTCTCTTAGAAAGAGCCATGGCAAGCTAACCTCATTTTATTCTTCCGGCGGGGATCCTAGGTTGATAGATTGGACAGGCCATAAATGCGGTATGTCTTGGTTTCAGCCTTTCTTGATCACCTTGAGAGAGGAGGGGTAAATGTGGGTGACAAGATCGCATGGTCATGTGAGTTCACTGGTGGCTAATCAACTTTAAGGGTTGCTGGTTAATAAATTCGTGTCAGCCTGAAGTGGTTTTCAGGGGCATGACACAGAGACCTGTCCTTGGCCCTTTCGCAGTTTCTCAGCTATGGCTGCACAGCAAAATCTTCCGATGACCAAAAACACGGAGGAAGACAAGGAAGTAAGCACGGTTTTTTAAAAAGGCACAAAAATTCAGTTCTATCAGTAGACTAGGATGAGAAAACAAAAATCAATGAAATGGAACTGCATAGGGATAAGAATAATATCAGTAGACGCAGATTCAAAAAGATGCAATGCTCAGCCGAAGACGACCCTGGCAGCATCCCAGAGACAAAAGAGCTGTCTGCAGGTTTGGGGAGTGGGAGTTTCGCCAGCAAGTCGTATGTTCAATGTGAGACAACTGTGACCAAGTTCACACACTTGCGTTCTGTTAACAGCACCCTGCAATGAGCCCTCAGAATACCTGCGAAGTTCTGGGTGCCACGATCTAAATGGGACACTAAGCAAGCAGTGTCCCCGAGGAGGGAGACCAGGATGGCGAAATTCTAGGTGTCGCTGGGTAGCAGAGGGAGGTGTGTCAGCCTGGAGGAGGGTGTCCTGACGTGAATGTGTTCACAAATGTTTTAAAGGACATTTCTTGGATTGAGAACAGATTTCTTGGATTGAGAACAGATTTCCTCTCTGAGCGTCTAAGCACAGAAGTCAGAGGGCTGAATCCACTTTAACATAGGAGATGGCTGTGTCCTTTGCTGCTGTGACCTGCCTCCTAGCACGGGCTCATGCTGGGAATGTCCACACTGAGGCTGGACAACACAGACACTCTGCCAGAGGTTCGGGAACACACATGGGCCGTGGGAAGTCGGACCAGGTAGAGTTAAAACCCCCTCGAGCATTCAGGACCACTCGAGGGCTCTCCCTCCATTCAGGTAACCATAAGCCATGTCTCTAGACTGGAGGAGCTCCGCCCAACCCTACTCTTTACCATCCTGCTCTACATCTCATCCAGGGACAACAGTAATGGGCACAGGGGCAAATCAGGCTGAATTCCTTTATAAAGAAATCGTCTTAGGATAAACAGCATATAAACGGAGAATATGATTTTAAAAGTCTTCTCCATAAACAGAAAACAAAGCACCCTTAACAAGTCAAAACAAAGCCTTCTAATCCTACTTGACATCAAGTTTTCCACTTGGGGGAGTAAAAGGGTGGGACGAGCCACAGCAGCCCAGCGCCGCCTCTGCCGGCAGTGACCGCAGGAGGGGTTTGCACCGTGGATCACAACGCACCGGCTCTTTGGGGTGACATTTTAAAGATGATCCTCCTTTAAAAGGAGACCAGACCTGGCACTGGAAACAAAGGCTTTTATTATCCCAGTCCTTTATGGAGAATAAAGATACATCTGTCCCAGAATCATGGAAGAACTTTGGGGAAAAAAAAGTCTAGTCTCAGGAAAGCCAATTAACTCTTATATATCAATTAAATATAGATGGCAGGTCTTATTTCACACACCGCTAATCTGCACGGGACAGAGGTCTAACAGTGACTGGGTGATGGAGGGAGGTCGGTACAGGTGGTCTTTCCTTCACAGGCGGGCTGAGTTCCTACATTAGCAGCTGACTTTAAAGGTACAAAATCTGAACACATGGAGAGGTACTTTTCCCAGCAGCATTTTCTAAAACCGACCAAAAATATGACAACATATCTAATTACAGCCCTCCCTAATTTGAGTGCCTCCTACTTGAGCACCAAGTTTGGTAAAGAGAAACAGAAATATATAAATAGAGTAAGTGCTTTTTCTAGAGGGTTACTAACATGAAATATACATGAAACATGCAGCAGTGGGAAATTTCCTACACACTCCCCCCATGTCCCTAAAATGTGGGAGCTAGCTGACATTCCAAGGAAAGGTAAAATAAATAAATAAAATAAATAAATAAAACCAGAGGGGGGGGGGCTACTTCATGTCTGCATGGTAAAACATTAAAATATACTTTCTCTACAGTACAACTCAAGACTTGCTCAATAATCAGTCCCACAGAAAAATGTTTTTTATTTTTTGGAAATAAAAGAAATGGGAAGCCTGTGAGCAAGGACACTTACTTTATAGTGCTCAGCGCTCACCCTGTGATTTGTTATACACAGTCTGAAAGGCTGATTATTAGAAATTAAACTGTTCAAAAACCTTGAGGTGTATTAACTCACTGATTCCTCGCGATGCCTCTGGAGGGCGGTCAGTAATGACTCCATTTGGTGGATAAGAAGACTGAGGCTCAGGGAGGTTAAGTAAATTGCCCCCCCACCCCCCCACCCCCCAGAAATGCTTGACCGGAGTTAGGATTCAAACACAGGTAGTTAAACCAAGACAAGAGCTTGTGTTATAAACGACTGTATTAGGCCCAGCTGACATTGCAGAGACCTAAACTGATCCTGCTTTGTATTTTGGGTGGTTCCTTGGAAAGTGGTCAGTCCGCAGCCCCGTGTACCAGTAAATGGCAAACTCAGAAGAGTATGGAGCCAGCAGATAGTATCACTGAGTGGAGGGGCCAGGTGTGCAAAGCACGATGCATGGTAACTGGCGCTCACACCCGAGGAAGGAGAGCGGGTGAGGGGCAGAGGCGGACCAGAGCGGGGCGGCCGCGGAGGAGGCGGCCGCTCCTTCCCTCTACCTGCCGGCTACCTGGGGGAAGCTGGGCAGAGTGCTGCCAGATTTTTAGGCTTTTCAAAAAGGGGTAAACAGAAAAAAACCCCAAAACCTCTGAAGTTTTATTTTAAAAAAGCTCTCTAGTTTAATGTGTTAGCTTTTGAATGAAAAAAAAAGAACCCACCAAAAAAACCAAAACAAAACACTACATGAAACACGAAATAAAACAATCTGTTGGCAATCTGTGGTTCGCTGGCTGGTGGCCTCGTTACGCCATTCGAGGAGGAGACGGCCGTCACCTGGAACAACAGGCCTGGCTCCTGAGCCTCCCAGGGCTTCCTTGGCTGTTCTCAGGGCTACAGCAGCAGGTAGGGAACCAGAGGCCTGTCCAAGTCAAGCATCTGGTCAGAGACACAGGCCTTTTGCTCTACTGAGACGAAGGCAAAAAAGCCAGGAGTATATGCAGAGTGATACTCTTACTTATCTTATTTCTTTGCACCAGGGGCTAATAAAATGAGGCACTGCTGTCCAAGCTGGCCTCCCAGATGGAAACCGTGCCTCCCTGTGGCAAACCTACCGGTTGGGCTGGGGGTAAACAGAAACGCGACAGAGAGAGCTCCTGACTCTTGGTTGACAAGGAAGTGTGCTGTTCACTCTAGTAAAAGAATGGACTCATCGCCAAATGTTCCTTCCCAGACAGCTGTCATTCCCCTGTCAGTGAACAGCTCTCCCAAACCAATGTAATGGGGCTGTCCTTCGTGGCTACTTCAGAATTCTGCAGGGGAGCTACTTTAAAAAAAAAAGGAAGATAGTGAAAATCGGAAGCAGGGGAGCCCGGCCAGTGTGGCTCACTGGTTGAATGTCGACCCATGCACCAAGAGTCCTGGCCAGGGCATATGCCCAAGGCTGTGCGCCTGCCTGACCCCCAGTAGGGGGCATGCAGGAGGTGGCCAGTCGATGTTCTCTCTCATCAATGTTTCTATCTCTCTCCCCCTCTCCCTTCCTCTCTAAAATCAATAAAGAAAAAAAAATTAAAAAAAAAAAAAAAATAGGAATCAGGGGACCTAAAGGACGTTGTGGGTAAAGCGGTGCAAACTATTCTGACCCTTACACATACACTCCCACCCACCGGTCACCATTTCTGAAAACTCCTTACAGATAATATAATAAAAACAGTAAAACTCCATGGTTGAAGATTTCTTGCTTTTTTGACAATTTAATCTTTACAATGAAGTTTTCTCCCTGGTATAACACATTCACTAAAGTCACAATGAAAAATTAAAATCACAACTTAGTTATTTGTTTTAAACACTTCAATGTATACAAAACAACACTAATTAATGTAAAGAAAATTGGTAACTAAAAAATGATTAATACCACTATGCAACGTAGAGAAATAAAATGTTTAATTGTTTTGTTTCCTGTCAATGTTTCAACTGGAATGAGATGAGATCTTCCCATTAAAACTGCATCACATGATTATCAAGTGGAAACCAAATCGACTAACCAAACTGTAGCCCAACTAGATTACCTACTGGATAGGGCTGACCAACACCTAAAACACCTTAGCTTTGGTTTCAAATAATCGCTCACTGTTTAAAATGGTCTGGGGATAGTGTCTAGCACAGATTTCTCAATGTTCACACTCAGAAGCTCCATGAAAGAGAGGTCAACTTTCTCAAACACCACAGTGTCTATGTAGTATTGCTGGGACCAAGAAGGTTCAAGCAGTGCTCAGTAAAGTGTGTGGGGAGGAAAGAAGGAACAGTCATTTTGATGAAGCACATCTGTTTGGTTGTAAACAGTCTTAACCTGAGATGCTTACCTTAAACATGCTAAGACTATTCTTTTCTCTAACAACTCAACCCAAAAGTACAATTCCACTCCACCATTCCAATCCTCCCACATAAATGATGGTATTTCCGAGATCCTTAAGAATCCTTCTCCAGTTCAGACTGTTTTCGTAGTTTTGTAATCTAACCTCCCATTTCCAAGTAGCTGACTCACCCCGGAGTAAAACATCCATGCTGACCATGGCAGGTTCTGGTACCTCTGGGTGAAAAGCCACGAGACACACAGAAAGACAGCACGAGCCCCAGCGCACACCTCAACTCCTGCTCTGCGGTGGCCTCTGGCAGGGTCTTGGTGAGGTGATCAAGGGGAAGGAGTGAAACACTCACCTGTCTTTGTAGTTTATGACAGTATCGATGATGGCGTTCATCTGCTTTGTCAGTTTGGGGGGGTTTGGCGATAGTTTCTCAGCGGGAGGGCGGCCTCTTCTTTTCTTAGCTTTTTCTACATCTTCTTTTGCAGGATCTTTATCCACATTTCTTCGTCTTTTTCGCTTCTTAAGCCGTACTTCCTCTTCCATTTCCTCCAAATTGCCGTCTTCAATGGCCTGTTAATAGGGAAAGGAGGAGAAAAATTCAAGACAAGAGTATAGCACGTGGGTGCGCACACACAAAATTTAAATAATTAGAATAAAATGAAACAAATTAACAGAAAAATAAAGTAAGCAGCAATCAGTGGAGTAGGAAGAAAAAAGGAAGACTATCATCATATTGAATAAATGCATCTTGAACCCAACTCTGTATCACGAGCAAAATATGTTGAAGGCCCAAAACACTACTAGTTCCAAAGAGGATTATGACAAATACGAGAAGATCTGTATATTTATGTGTTTGCAGATAACTGAATCCAACGAAAATTTTGGCTCAATAGAAGAGAAAGACCTTAATTGTTTCATTACTGTAAGGGGAGAAAAGATGTAACTAAAAAAAAAAAAGGAATGAGTGAAGAAATAAATGTCCTTAAGAATACATCCTTACAGTCATACAAGCACTGACCACTTCCTTTTTAAGATTTTACATCAATTTATTCATGATTCACAACATAAATCAAAATTGCATCCAGATTTTGTGCTAACGTAGCCATTAGTAAACAAGGAAACGGAGAAGTACAAAGCCACATTCCTTTGTAAACGCACTTAAATCATCTGATGAAGAACACACACACTCACAAACAACAAACACTTTTTTTCCAATTACCTGCAAACGCTTGCTTTAAACCAGAGCCAGCAGCACTAATGCAGAGAGATAATAAAATAGCTATAAAAACAACCAGGCATAAAGGAAACCTGTTCATAAAAGGCTAAAGATCCATGTAACAGACCCAGAAGTTTAAACTTTTTTTTTCCTAGTAAATCTCAAAACTTAAGAAAAATAGAAGGGGGGTGGGGGGAATTGCAAAAGAAAAAACAAAAACAAAAACCCACAACAGAGAGAAGAGTATTTGACCATGGAAAGAAAAATATTTTTTAAAACCTTTAAATTATATTTCAAGATTGCCTTCTCACAAAATAACTGATGTTGTTATTTGTCCCTCCTGCCTCTCAATATTGCCTCCAGTATGCAAATGCTAATCAATCCTTTCTCGTAGCTGAAAGAGCTCTAATCATAAGGCAATTACCTTCATTTCTCCACAGCACCAAACATGGCTAATATTTATGATCATGTGAGCATAACAATCAATATAAAGAGTGATTACAGCTCAGACATAATTTCTTTCACTTGTGTACAATGCCTCCTGAAAAAGAAAGGTTTTGTGAAGAAAACCTGGTGCAGAACACAAAACAACCTGGCATGTTAAAAATGCCAGTGGGATTTTAAAAATATGTTTTCTATGCATCTTCCAATTGTGCAAACCCATAGAAGCAACATGCACACAGACAGAATCCTAAGGGACAGTCTGAGCCTAGGCCTTAATAATCAAAAGACAATTTCCATCACGATCCTACAATGTTCAGATAACCACTATGAAGAAAGCGAGATCTGATGAGTTATGAGGAAAAAGGAAAAAAAAAAAAAAAAGCTCCACATTATTTCATTAATATTCATTTGCCTAAAAGCAGGACACCCACTATACAGCTAAACACACTGCAGCTAAGCGAAGATTAAGAAAAGGAAATTGTTCTGCAAATCTTGGAGGCTGAACATGCTAATAATAAATACAGCATGCAAGGCTGTCAACAGTTAATGGTATTGCTCTCCTCAAGCACCCAGTTGCACACAGAAATACGGAGAACACCGGCTTTTGATGTGTTACACACCTACACATGCCTGGGATGTAGTTCTACTGAATCTTCAAGACGGCAACGAAAAAGGATATTTACCTTACCACTATCAGCAGGCCGGCTATCGGAAATCACAGTTAGTGGGGATAAAATTAACAAGCCAGCAAAGCAGCGAGCTGCTAGTCTCTTCATCAGCTGATCAGGAAAAAAAAGAGAGCTGGGGAAAGGCTATGTTTTCATATACAAGTAATTTTATTTTACTGAAAATTTAATACTGAAAGGATTGTGGATACTCAAATCTGCTGTTTCATTCTACCTACTACAAGGCCCGAAGCCTTCCTCCTTCAGCCTGTTTTAATATTGACAACTACTTATCATATTTTTTTTTTCCCCTCTTATTATTCCAGGCAGCAGAATTAGAGATTTTGTAGCTCAGGCGGTTTCTGATTCTTACTCGCATTTTAACAATTAAGCCAATAAGAAAACAAATTAATATTCAAATTTACTTTAAAAAATTAAAACAAGGTATGCTTTCTTTTTTCTTTTTGGTATTTTAAAGCTCATTTTAGTGCTTTTGAATAAAACAGGCTGCATGGTTTTGGAGCAGTCTAAGATGATTATTTTTTTAAATAAAATAATTTCTTTTTCATTAAATGCATGTCAGTAAAAGCAATGTGCATGTTCTCGAGTTCAAATATTTTAATAATATATGTTATTCTGCTCTTTAAAGAAAATCCCGAACAACTGTGATACACTTCACTTTCAGTTTCATGCTGTAAAATTTTTCATTGTTTTTCTTTTTAGTGGGATAAATGAAGAGGGGGAAGTTGTGAAAAGATATTTCTACACTCACCCCCCACCCTTAACTTTGCAAAAAAAAAAAGGAACAAAGCATAAGCTTGTGATATTTGGACTTTTAAATCTCTAAGTCTAAGTAGCTAAAAAGCGAAAACAAATTAAACTGCAAAAAGAACTATAAAAACAATTTTTATTACAATTGCTAATACATGCAAATTCGTATTAAATTTAGGTTTTGGAATCACATGGAAACACACAAAGTACTGACCATTATTCCCCTTAAATTAAGGTTTTATGCAGGAATGCAGAGAGCTACAAAACATCCTCCCTCCTCCCCCAAGACCCCAAACACATCCATATGCAGTGCTTGATGTTCAGGGATTTCCAAGGGTCTTGTTCTAATGGAAATCAATTCACTAAATATTTCCCGGTGCTTTTCGCACTTAAAGAGGGAGTAAGATTACTCCTGCATGTAAGTAAAATTATCCATGGACATTTAAAACTGTTCTTTAATTAAAAAAAAAATTACTTATTAAACTGGCTCAACTGACTCAACTTAGTGCTAGGGGATGGGGGGGGGCACCAAAAAAAAAAAAAAAAAAAAAAACTTGCTACACAATGCTAAAGCACTACCCCCAAAAGAATTCCCTTCCAAACCTTTTACCAGCACAATAATGAAATAAATCACAGAAGCAAACCCCCAGTTTCCGACTGGTGACGTGTTGCGCAAGAGTGCGAGCCCTAATTCAACATACAGACGGCTCCCATGCTGAACTGCCTCTAGATTTAATGAAGTGAATAGGAAGGAAGTCGGGGGAAAAAAAGTGTACAAATAAGAAATTAACACTTTCCTCCCCTCCGCAGACGGTGCGCTACAACTACGCGAACTTTGGCGCGGCGCTTCCTTCCTTAAAGGCGCACTGCACCCTCCTGGCTCCGGATGTCCCTGAAAAAACCCTTCTGCGAGATTCGGGCGAACCCCGCCGCGTGCACTCGGGGCGGCACATTCCAGCCTGCGCTTTTCCTGAATGAAGCCGGGAATTTCTCCTTCCTCCACTGGATGGCAACCTTTTTTCCCTCCCTTCTTTCTCTTTCTTTCAATTTTTTTTTTTTTTTGAATACGTTTCCGCGACCCAGGCCGGGCGAGGAGGAGATCCAGACGGACCCCCGCAGTGGGGGGGCGCGCGTGCAGGTTCTGCGCAGACCAGGCGAGGGGGTGCAGGGCCGCTGTGCGGGGAGCCCTGCAGCCCGGCGCACATGGCAGCCCGCGGCGGCCCCACGTGGGTCCCGCGGTGCCCTCCGGGGCTCCCGGCCGCGGGGTGCAGGCCGCGCGGGGCGCGGGGGCACGGTCCTCGGGCTCCTGGGCCCGCGGCGCCCCGAGGGCTGTCACACACCACTTCCCGGCCCGGCCCGGCGAACAAAAGCCGCCAGCCAGTGGGGCGCAGGTTCCCGGCGGCTGCCTTCCCCCCAGCACCCCGGGCCCACCGCGCAGGGTGGCGCAGCCCTGCCCGTGGAACAGACCATCTTGGGGACAACGGAAAGGAGCGACTCGCAAGGCGCCTAGACGAGGCCTGGGGGATTTCTGGGCTGTGAAATGGGGAATTTAGGACTGTCACAGTAACCCTGATATTTAAATACCACATTCTGCCCACTGACGCATTCTCTTTCCGAGGGGTTCCTCCCCACTCGGGAGCTCTAGAGTCCAGAAGGGTCTAGGGTACCGGGGGCGGAGGCAGCGTTGCAGAGTGGAGGCCACGCACTGAACAACTGGGCCTTCTCAACACTAGCCCTGGGGTGGGCCACTCACACCACCAAACCTGTCCCACTACTCCGGAACCTGAAACTCCCTTCCAGCCCCTGTGAGACCCTGGAAGCCAGTAAGTACAGGCAATGGTCCCCCAAAACAACCAGGGCAGCGGCAACAACGAGAAGTGGAATTTTAAAGAAAATTTAAGATTTCATGTATGAGACATGTTCTTATAAGAATAATACGTAACAGCAAAAAACTTGAACATGGAATTCTTGCTCAAAATGGCACATTATTTTAGGCACTTGGTTTAACAAAGACTACAGGTTCTGAATGCAGAATTGCAGACTCATGGCTAAGGGCAATTTTAAATTTTTGATTATTACCATCCGCCAAAGCAACCTGTTAGAAAAGGATGCATAAAATCACATTCCCTACAGTGAAATACACGGGACACAAAAGGACAAATATTGTCTGACTGTACTCATGAGAAAGGATAACAGTGGTTACGAGGGGTTAAATGGAGGGGGGAATGGCGTTGTTACTGACTACTGAGTCTAGAATTTTAGTTTGGAATGATGAAAAAGTTCTGGAATGGATAGCAATGATGGTTATACAACAATGTGCTGAAATGGACACTTAGAAGGGTTAAAAGAGTAAATTTTACGTTATGTGTATTTTACCACAACAATAAAAAAAGTTCCTGGAAAAATATCAAATTCTCTAAATATTAGGGGAAGAAAACCAACAACTGCGGGTTCATACATGTTCCTACCACCTC